TATTATAAATAATTTATAACGATAATTTAATTTTATATATTATTTTTGTATACAAAGCACAACCTGCTAAATATAACTTATCTCTCTCTTTCTGTTTTCTTCCTATCGTTATACTTTCGCAATGTATGCCGAAATCGTTTAATCGACGATCAACATAGTATCGCACTAGAGAGTGTATCAAGATTCGCGGAAGCATCGTGAAATGGTCGATGCACTTACACGTCGAATGCAACCGCTTACATCGCGCCATGCCAGAGGGGAAATCGTGCCAGCCATAATAATATAATTATGATAACCGCGGATATACTGTATCATCAACTGTACCAATGTGGCGGCCCCGTTACATGCGAACCGCGTATCGTTTATCACGCAAAAAACCACGCATGATCGCGCGCGCGTGTGGGATCTTTCTCTCTTTTTTTTATTCTCTCCTCTCTGGCGAAGCTGCGCGCGAGGTTGATCCATACAAGGTAACGACCAAGGCAGGAGACCGGCTACACCCTGCCGTCATCGTCGTTGTCGCCTTCTCTCTCTCTCTCTCTCTCTCTCTCTTGCTCGATTGCATGCGTGTGTGTATTGTATGGAAATTGTGTGCGTGCGCGACAGCAAGGAATAACGTAATATTAAACGTTGCGTACAAGGGCGTTTGACCCGCCCATGATGTAATCTATTCTATTCCTCGTTGTTATAAAGTGATAGCACGAAGGAGTCTGTATGTCGATGTAAGAAAATGTGTTATTATTGTAAAATGTATCAAGCCTTCAATTTCGTATTTATAGAATTCATACAGTTCATTGTTTCGTATAATGTAAATGCGTTATGGTTTCAGATTCTTGTATATGTATGTATGATTCTTGTATATGTGTATGTATGTGCTCCATATTATGTTAGAATTAATATTTTAAATGGAATATTTCACAAAATATAATTACATTATATAAAATAATATCATAAATATACGACGCACTTGTAAATATTACAGAGAGATTGTTTTGGAATCGATTCCCTGCGCGAAATATTTCTGAAGGAGCAGATGATGTAATGTGATGTAACTAATTAGATTACGCGAATGAATACAGATATAATGTCGTAGTTTCATACACAGAGTACGCCATTAGTGTTCATTAATTAAGCTCGCTGGATTGCGGCGGCGGGCGTGTATGTATTTGTAAGTCACTTATCGACTTTCTCCTACAACAGAGTTAGGGTACTTAAGATAGATCTAAGGCGACTACTAGGGTAAGGGTGGAATAGGCCATTGAAGGTAACCACCTGCCACATCGTCCTGCTTCAGCAAACACTATCTTAACAAGCGACACTCTGCCTTATTTCTCAAACGGCTTGTTTTTATCTGCATTAAAAGCTTTGATACTTTGCAATTTTCTATTTTTTATTACAGGCTTTTATACTTTAATCAAAATTAAAAAAAAAAAGATAATTCCAAATTTTTACGATACACTTATTTTGCCTTTGTGCATTTGTCATTTTCTACTGCAGGTTGCTTAATTGCAATATATCTAACAGAATGATTGAGAATAATAACGTAAATGATTGATTCATCGTTTTTAATGAATGAACCATTAATGTCCATCTAAATGTATGTAAGTCTCTTGTATATAAAAGCTTAAATAACGCACCGAAGTTTTTGCGCTAGTAAAGTTGTCACATATGTGAATTTCCACACACATATATATATATACATATACAATATAAAATATAATAAAAAACTTTAAAATACAACTCACGCAAATAGTATATTAAAAACGAAAAATAATTCAATTTTTACATCTTACAAAGAAAGAGAGTGTGAGAGAGAGAGAGAGAGAGAAGTGTAATAGTACTTGAAAATTTTTCGAAATTTAATTTAAATTGGCAGATATTTTTGAATATTCTCTTTTTTTATAAACCTTGTTTTTCATAATTAACAATAATTATAATATAGGTTGCAAAATTCTATATTCTATCGTCTTCGTATTATTTACGTACACACGTACATAATGTAACTTCTCTTAATAGGATTTATACTTGACGCGTTTTTGAGGAGGCGTTACATATGGCAAGCCAACGGATTTTACGTAGAAACGAGACAGGAGATTGCCGTTAAGATAATGTAATATCGCGTGAATGAAACCGTGGACGAATACAATACTGCTTCGCAACGAATCTGCATCTCCGCATTCGCGAAGATCTTTCGAGATGTTTTAACTGTAAATTTCTTGTGTCTCATCCATACGATCGATGTAACTGAACGTTATAAAAATATAATAATGTAGAGATATAAAAATAAATACATTTAATAATTCGTATACTTATTCTTATACTTGCATATAATTCTCCCACTCTCTCTCTCTCTCTCTCTCTCTCTCTCTCTCTCTTATACATATAATTTTCTTATAAAATTATATAATGTTTTTTTTATAAAATATTCGTGAAACGCGCTGAAATCATTCTAAAACCAAAGAATTGTTCAATATTTACAAGATTAATATGTTTTGAACATCTCGTAGGTTTTTAATCATATGTAGTTATGTTTTTGTCCTTCGAAAAGATCTAAATATAGATGTGTGGAAATAACTAAATTACACTTTAAAGTTTTAATCGAAATAGTCTCTAACGAATGTCGCTTGTCTTGAAAAAAAAAGTCGGCAAAATCAGCGTCGCCAATCAAGGCGGCTGTTTGTGGAGAGCATCTGCATTCTTGGCGGCCACGCCTGTGAATCGATACGCGCTGCAAGCGCTCGTATCTCGCGCGAGATACACGTCCGGAAAATCTCGTAATGAAATCAACATCAGCGGCATATCTGGAACAGTCGCTTTCCTGCGCCGAGGCAAAATAATCGACGTCTTGTATCGAAGATCCCTCGCGCATTAACATCCGCAACCGATCGAACGGTCCCTCCTTCTTGTATCTCTCTCTAGATAGAGAAACCTAGCTTCACCCACATTTATATCAGTCAGGACCGGTGCCCTTTCGGGATATCTAAGGGCTCCAGAATTTAAAAATTAACGGTCAAAATACAGTATTATGTTAATATTATGACGTTATATATAAATTATCTCGTCGCAATTTTTTGGAAATTTTGCGAGTTGGGATATCTTAAATTATTAATTATGCAAGATTTAAATATAAACTATAGTATTGTAAATTTGCAAGCACATATAATACAAATTATACAAAAATTTGAGCAATAATACGCAAAATTTCATAAAAATTTTAATATTATAAATTTTGTAAATTATATGTAGTGATAAAACTATCGCCTCATAATTTTTTAATTATCACTTTTTATCATTATTGTCTTTTTTTAAATTAAAATTGAATTTTCTAATATATAAATTTATTCAAATCTTTTTCATTCTATGTGGCTGACGATATAAAAGAACGATTTAAATGTCATATTACATTTGAAAAGTCAATTTGGTGATTCTGTTATGTTGAAACTGCATATATAAGTAAATGAAGATTTTGGGCAAATTTGTTCCAGAACCATGATTAATGAAAGGCTCTATTGTATAGATGAGCCATCGTAAAGATCACTAGAATGACCTGAACTCATTATTCAATCATTAGACAAATTACTGAACAAATTTTCTACCATCTAGCATTTACCAAGAGCGACTAATGCGAGAAATCAATAACCCAACATTACATTAAATAAATCCGATACTGCGGTTTAATAAAAAGAAAGGTAAAGTATAAAAGTACATACAATTTTATCCACGTCTGTGTCTTCAATATTCGTTTCATTATCGAGAAAAACATCCATCAAGCAATCAAATAGATATCTCGTCGATATAGGACGCGACAGAAAAATCGTCACCTGGGGCTCCGGACGATATTAGGTCGAGCCTGGCGGCCAGGCATCGTAGTGGTTCCTCTTGAAATTCGTCGAATCGAAGCCGAAGCCGTCTCGGCGGCGTGCGGGATCCGCGCAGGCAAGAATCGACGTGTCCGCTGTACGCGCAGTTGGCAACGCAGAGGCGGCTCCGCCAATCAGACGCGCGCAACGCACTCGCCCCCTCTCCCTGCACCCTGCGTCGCCGCTCACCTCCCACCCCTCTCCCCGCCATCCGGGAGGCTTGAAAATCTGTAACGGACACCGCAACCGCCGCACACTCGTCTCTGGACTCTCGCGACGCGTTAGTCTGTAATCGTCGAGTCAGTTCGATAATAATCGCCCGTCGCTTTACCCACAAGGGTCTCCTATACCAAGAGGTCACCGATCAAGCCCGTACGAGCAAACATGAGGGAAATCGTCCACATCCAAGCCGGCCAGTGCGGTAACCAAATTGGAGCAAAGGTAAATACTTGAAAAAAAAAAAAGAAAAAAAAGAGAATCTAATAGTAATAGAACCGAGACGCGTCCTCGCGCGCGCGCTTTTCCTTTGTCTCAAGGTAATATATTTTAGTTGATTCGACCGCGAGAATCACAGACTATCGCGATTCCATTTTCCATCGAGATTCATTTTTCTCCGTCTAATCGTCGAAGATCTCGCGAGATCGACGCGGAGCGATAAAATCCTCGCGGGCGTTCTACTTCGCGAGAAGAAAGGGATAAGCGTACGCGGAATCCGAGTTCTTTTCAGAGTTCCTTGTCGATTCGTGTCTCCAAGGGTGAGGGGGAGGGGACGAGGATGCATCTGGAACATACAGTCGGTTCGTCGACTCGGGATAATATGCGAGGAAATAACAACCGAGACCGAGCCTCGCCCGCGCGGCGGTCGAAGACCTGTCATGGCGACAAGAGCTCGCCGGCCGGCCGGCAGGCAGAGGCTGTAACGGTTTTTTTTCCCGCTATCCTTTTCTCTCGCCGCGTTCCTGTCGGCCATCTTTCCTCTGCGCGTGTGTTGTAATATTCCATCTACTCGAGCCAACTATGTCGTGACCGATGCGGGATGGAAAATTCGAGAACCGGACGAAGGATTAATCGACGAGAGTCGCCGAAATTATCTGTCATTCGCGAAAACCCGGCATCCGAGACCTGGGTGTGGCATCTCTTTCTCTCTCTCTCTCTTGGCGACGAGAGATCATCGGTTTTACGCGGTGATATCGACCGGCTGCGCGCGCATCTCTTTCTCGTCCCGACGAGTAGCCTTTTTCACTTTTAGTCCCTATTGTAATTCTCTCAAACGTCTGATGAAATTTGCTAATATCACACGCGACGTTGTATTTATTTGTAAAATGTCTTAAGGGAATTTAATAGAACATTTCATGCATTCTGATTCATATTTATTTGCGCTCGATATTACCGCGAATAACGAGAGACTCATCGTATCTCGCTATCTCCCTTCAACATTTCTCCCTCTTCGTCTCTCGCGTCACCTTCACACACTTGCATGCGCTAAAGATGAATGCACACCGAACGAAAGAAAATTACGAATGCCGATTGTTACGTAAAATATATTAACGCTTATCTCGCATAATTTTAATCGAACGAGACGCTGTTACACGATCAATGTCGATGAAATTTTCTCGAATATTTGATTTATCGCATCGGGAAGCGATCAGGGTGGGAACGCGTCGAATGTGTCGGTATGCGCGTCCCTTAAAGCAGATGGAATTCCTGCGTGCGTCGGCCGTGCGGCGTCACGATCGCGCCAACTGCGTGTAACGCGTTCATCGCACGATGGCCGTTTTAAAATTTTTAAGCGACGCCGTTAACGGACACCGGACCGCGTTATCGCGAGTCGATACGCTCGAACGCTCGATTTCTCGTTAATCGTGCGGATCCGGTGTCTCCATTTTCATTCTACGTGCACGCGCTCGATTCTTTTTTTTTTTTTTTCCACTGTATTCTACATTGATTTCTCGATACATTGATATCGCTATTATCGTTGTGTATGAATAATTAGAAAAATATATTTGAAAAAATATAAGATATTTGTATCAATAATTGTGTAAATAAATATAAAATTGCAATATTTTCATTATTTTAAGCTTTGCTAGAAATTTTTTAATTTAGTAAAAATGTAGAGAAATTCTTTTATCCGTCAAAATACATTAATAAACAAAGCTATCATTAATTAAAATATACATGTGATACTTTGGAAAAGCTTCGTGTACGTGCTAAAAGTATTACAAAACATTTTAATTAATAAAATATACGCTTTTATTTTGAAAAGATTATTCTTCGTGTTATTATGTATGTATATATTTAACGAGATGAAGTTTTAGCTAGAACAAAATGTTAAAAATTCACATACATATGTAAAAACATTAATTATACGTATATAATTACTAATCGCATTCTGCTTTTATTTTTTATAGAGTAATATAACTTGGCAGATTTTTTTCCCTATAATAGGATATGCTATTACTACTCGAATAATCTATTTGAATAATTTACAAGCGATGAGAATGGTAAAGATCGCGCGAGGAGAAACTGATCAACGTTCGTCGTCATGCTCTTGTAATTTTTAAGGCTGCTACATCAAAGTCAATGCCCGTTTCTCGAACTGTCTATCTCAATATCCCAATCAATCTGGTGTCATGTTAATATAACATGAAAAATTATTTTTTATCTTTTTACAGCAAATTTGTTATAATAATAAAAACTTTGTAATTATTATAATAATGATTGACAGATATTTTTTTTTTT